ACGAATACAGAATGGTACATCTTCAGAGTTCAGGCAGGTCGACTCGGTTGAGTGTGAGGAGCTTGTCGCTGGCCGTGGACTTGACTATGAAGAAGGGAGTTGGCCATCCTTGCATAAACTGGTCAGGAGCTGGAGCCGTTCCCCTGATGAGACCAAGGCAGGTCAAAACCAGTCAGCATATATCATTGGGAGGGCAGGTCGTGGTGGCTGACCAGGGCGTTTGCGCAAGTTGAAGTAACGCCTTGGTGCCACACGGGCCGTGCCGTTGCGCTAAATTTCTAGACCCATGACAATAAGGTATGAATCAAAGGAGAAGAGAATAATTAAAACTTTTTTTTAAGAATTTGATAAAAAAAACCCTAACCTCCTTCTTCCTTTTTCTCTTACTTTGTCTTCCTTCTTTCTCTCTCTAAGATATATTACGTGTTATATTTTCTAACTTCTTTTTCTAACATATAGTTATATATTTATAGGCTAAATAAAATAACCTAATCCTTTTTCCAATCCAAGTCAACTTCACAGAGAAAATAATAAATATTAAAATATTAAAAAGATAACTGAAATATATGTTACGCATAAACTATGTATATTCTTTTTTATATATAATATATAAATATACACCAGATTATTACTAAATGACTTTCTTTATGTATATATATATATATATATATATATATATATATATATATATATATATATATTTATTTATTAAATATACATATATAACTTTTCATAGGTAATTATTCGTACTCATTAAACCCCTTATTCAAGTAGTCCATGGAGTCCAATTAGTTGGTCCATTATTACTATCCATATCCAATTCCTTAAGAATATAAAAAAAAAATAATAATAATAATAAAAATAAAACAATTACACATCATCACACATAATTTAATTTAAACCAATAAATCTAAAATATGTTTTAGCACATAATTTAATTTAAACAAATAATTCAATTAATACCTAAATAATTAAATCAATTAAACAACTAAATAATTAGTTAAGAAATCAAATAAATAATTAAAATATAATTAAAATAATTTTAAAAAAATACCGAGATTATTTTTTTAAAATGAAGGTATTACATAAATACTCACGCCTCTAAGTATTGGTGAGTGTGGACAGCCATTCCTTCTAGAAGTAGCCTTCGCCATCTGCAATTGAGCTAAGATATTTTTGTAAAGACGTTTATTAGCCGCTCATGTTTTACTTTTAGCCATGTGCTGACATGGAATGGTGCAACAGATGCATAGGAGCTGGTGGATCGAGTAAGACCCACCATTATAGTGATGATCGGTTGCATTAATAACAGTTACAACTAACTAACCTCTCCACACGAAAAAATAAAAACCGTATGCATCTGACACATTCTCACTAATTAGTCTATGAGGAGGAGCGAATTATACCGTCAAAAATCTAATATAAAACTACAAGACATTTACCTAAAATTTAAATTTGGAAGGTAATATGTGCACGAAAACCTGAGACAGGTTCTATGATGCAGCCGATTGAGCAATTTCAAACATGAACTCGTTTCAATAAAGTTACACGGTTAGTTTTAGTAATTTTTTATGATTTCTCATAATTTTTATTTTGCCTCTAAATTGGATTTAATTTTCTGGAGGGCTCTCAAATTTAGTGGTTTGGAACTTATCAATAATATTTTATGATATTTACAACTCTTTTGGCAGTGCCTAAATGTTAATGCTTCCTCTATTCCAAACGGATTTTATCAATTCTTCCTAATTGAATACTTCAACTTCGTCAGCACTAAGCACAGGTACCCCCGTCTCCCTCAAATTGTCATAGTTTTTTTATTTAAATAAATAAATGAATAAATAATCTTGTCATGTCATTGTACCATGCTTCTGTTGTTGCTGGACGAATTTAGAAATATATAATGGGATGGGCTAATTTATTCTGGAGTAGGTTAGTATTATTAATTTTAATTTTAATTTTAATTTTTTAGAATTGAACTAAAATAACCTCTAATAATAATAATATTTTATTTTATTTATTTATTTATTTATTTATTTATTTATTTTTTTTTGGGTGAGCTCAAGCCCACCAGAACACACCCTGGATTCGCCTAGTAGTACTGCTGCTAACCACCATAGCAACACCATATGCAGATGCTTCCTCTGCAAAGCCTTGAGGCCTTTTTCTCTCTCTGAATCAAGTAATTAAGAATGATGAGATCTAGCTTTGTCTTTCCTAATACATATAGTAAAACAATCTCTAAACTGAGGAAATCACCAAAAATGTTATAGTATAGAATTTGTAATGCATTGAATGACTTTTCGGACAAAAATGTTGACTCACCCAAAATGAAGTCTTGGTTGTATCTTAGGATGTCTTGCAACTGACAAAAAATAAAAAATAAAATTATGATTTAAACATAATATAGGTGTGATTCCAATTAATTCATTAAATATATTTTTTTAGTAAATCAATTCATTAAAATTTTCTCTCTTCAGATCAACTATAACACATGTAGAATTGTATATTAAGCATTTCAGTGTTCAAATGAACCATATTAATTAGTTGGACTAAGAAACAGTGAAAACGCCTTCACGACGAATCAAACTTACTTCTATAACTGTCATTTTATTTTTAGAACTTAGAATAATTTAAGTATACCAAAGAAAAAAGTATTTGGTAACTGCTTACAGACCTAAGATCTTTTCCATTCAAACTCGATGTGAGACAAGAACCTCCAACCACCTACCGAATTCTTATAAGTAATATTTTCTTAACTTTTTCATATTATTCTATATACACCTAACCAACTCAATTGCGTTAGGTTATGTGTATTATATATATATATATATATATATATATATATATATATATTTGTTTGGCAAGTACCAAAATGATTGAAAGGACAAATTAGGTCTGTATGTATATTTGAATATTTTTTATTATTACCAAATAATCATATGAGAATAAATTACAGTTTATGTTATTATTTTTTAATGAGATATTATCTAGTTATGCAGATTTTTAATTTTCATTCAAAAATTATATTTGGGTTGAGAATCTGGATACCTGATCATTAAATCTAATATTTTTTTTATATGCTGTGGACAAGTCAATTAATTGGTGTAAACGGAATCTCAGTTTTTTTGACCTTGTGGGGGAAAAATATTATACACACGCGCACATGTACATTTTATAGGGTGAATTGCGTAAAACTTTCCTTAATACTGTTCTGCATTAAATTATCCTTCTTTTCTTTCTTTTATTAAAAAAAAAAACACCTTTTCATCTGACGGGGGTGTTACTTTTACTAAAACACACTCCCACCAAGTCAAGGAGATCTTACGCAATTCCCTCAGTATGATTTTTATTTATGCATTTCTTAAATTAAAATTATGGTATAGCTTGTACAAAAAAAAAAAAAAAGTCTAAATATTAATATTAAAAAAAAAATCTTGTACCTCAATTCACACAATTGAGCAAATTTACATAAAACCTCATTGACATGTTAGGGGTATTTTTGGTAATAAGTCAAAAAGTAACTTCCTCAATTAGTTAAGGATTTTTTTGAAAAAAAAAATATATATATAAATAAAACACGATTTAGTAAAAAACCTACAAATCAAGGGAGTCTTATGCATAAATGAAGAGAAAATTACAAGATTACAAATGGGCCAATGGCCCAAAAACAGAGAGTAGGCCACAGCAAAGCCCAGCCCAACAACAAGGTAATACAAGTAAACTAAAGACACTGTTAGTCTATTAAGCCTTTGACAAATGTTGAGGCGGCAAGTACCCAAGTCAAATACAGTACACACATTTCTCCTTTGAAGGTTGATATACAATGTTGGTTCAATTCTCTAGTAATTTAAAATTTTGAAATAACTGATAGTGTATCATGGTATTAGAGCATGCACTGGACCAAAGGGTGTCAATTCTCTACCTATATGGACTATATATAATCATAATATTAGAGTCTACTAGTTGCCCCCACTAGCCACACATTGGGTCTGTGCTTGATCCTAAGAATTGCCATAATTTTTCGCCCATGAAACATGGAATATAACACCAGGGGTCGGCCTTGCGCCTAGGCGGCACATGCGGTCGCCTAGGGCCTCCGATTTGGACATGGGCGAAGGAAAAAAAAAAAAAAAGAACAAAAACAAACAAACAAGTTAAAGGGCCCAAACATCTTATATATAAAAGGTCTCGTATTTGAAAGTTTGGGCTCTCAATTTTGGGAATCTAAGGTGGCCCTGTGTATATTAGATCATTCTTGTACATGTGGAGTAACCATGTCAATTAGGATTTTGGAGTAACGTTCTACACTATCGATGATTTAGTGTGATTAATTGAGGACAGTAACATAGAGTCTAACCTTCCTGTCCTTGATTTGAGTTCTCTCCAATAATTTATTTCTAAAAACTGTTTCTTGAATTGCGAATATAAAAGGCATAATGAGAGGGAGATAAAGTAAAGCCCCATGAAATTATAGTCCTCTAATTTGGTAACCAGTGCAGGCCATTTTTATTCCATAAGCTTCCAAACATGATATACATTACCGTAAATCTTGTGTCACTAAAGACAAATCTTGATTTTCTAAGTGATCTTGTTCTTATGATACAATCCCAAAATAGGAAAAATTATGAATAAAAAAGTTAAGTAAGTCCTAGAAATTGTTAAGCTTCCATAGAGATAATTAAAATTAAAATGGCAAGGACAGTAAGATTTTCTAGGGAAGGACCAGCTCATCTAGGTGCTTCAAAGCTCAAACCAGCTCTTGATCATGCTTCTGTGGGATCATTTTGTTTTGTCCTTGAATCATGCTCGTTCTAGGTCGCTGATTGTGCCTGAAGTGTCCAAGAAGATCTCACCGCAACATTTCTCACCACCTTCACACACAGAAATAACAGAATAAAGATGATCAAAACAAGTTTAGTTGTAAAATGATGCATAATTACACCTTTAGGTAATGCAGAATCATAAGTACATTGTATACAATATACCTGTCAAACAATTGATCATCGCCCACGACTGTCCATCTGAAATTTTGCTTGGTTCTTGGTGTCGTCAAACACAGTTGATGCAGACTTGCCATAGAAATCCAATGGTTTGTAGAGCAAGGGATCCCTCTCTTCTATGTCTGATCCGATTTGATCAGGACGCGAGTGCTTCTCAAACTTTCTCAAGGCCTCAAGCTCCTCTTTTACTTCCTCCATAGTTGGCCTTCGATCTCCCTTCAATTCTAAGCATCTTTTTGCAACCTCAGCAACTCCTTTTAGCTGTTCAACATCTCCCTCTCTTTTTACTCGATCCTCGAGAATTTGAAATAAACAATTCTCCTCCATTGAAGAAACGAAATATGCAGCTAGACTCCTATCCTTTTCGGGTCTTTCAAAAGAAACTACCATCTCGCCTGATAGTAGCTCTACAAGGACAACTCCAAAGCTATAAACATCGCTCTTTTCTGTTAAGTTACCTGAATGGAAGTACTCAGGGTCTATGTACCCAAAGGTCCCTTGCACCAGTGTGGTTAAATGTGTTTTACCTGAAGGCACAAACTTTGAAATTCCAAAGTCAGATACTTTTGCTGTGTATTCATCATTCAAGAGAATGTTGGCAGACTTGATATCTCTGTGAATAATTTGTGTGGTAGAGTGCATATGTGCAAGAGCTACTGCAGTTTCCGCGGCAATCCTCAGACGACTTTCCCATGGGATTGAGGACACACGAGCTTCGTCATGTAGGTGGTGGAAGAGTGCATTGTTGGTGATGAATTCGTAAACTAGTAAAGGAACTGGTGTCTCTAAGCAGCAACCCAAGAGCTTTACCACATTTGGATGGTCAATTTGGGAAAGAATTTTCACCTCAGTGACAAATTGATTAATTTGGTCTAGGTCTACTAATTTGGACTTCTTGATGGCAACCACTCTGTTATCTGCCAATGTTCCTTTGTACACAGTACCAAAACCACCTTGGCCAATAACACAACTCTCATTGAAGTTTTTTGTTGCCTTCCTGAGCTCTTCTTCGGTAAATAGTTTGGCTACTTGATCAGAATTTTCCCCTTTGGAAAGTTGTTCTTGTAACATTACACCACCATTTTGCTTAAAGCAATCTTCTCTGGCTTTGGTGTTTTTCCTTTTCTGCTTTGCCCAGTACACAAAAACAGCGATTACACAGAAAAATAAAAGGCTAGTACTGATACCTGCAAATCAATAAGTCACAAATTCAATTATCTCCCAGATCAGTATCTAAACTCTGCCAATTTAAGTAGTAGAAATATCCTAATAAAGACATAAATAAGACTATGATTACAACTTGGGGTGCGCGTGAATGAGTATTAATGGCTATTTCATAGGGGTTTGAACTTAGAACTAGTCATGTTCTTTCGGAAGTTCTTGTTGAAGAATATAGTGGAAACAAAAATATGAAGTACGTTGAATAGAAAATCTAAGGAACTTCAAGGAAGACCTGATCAGTAACCGAGTCTGCCAACTAAGATGATCATTGATCAAGAAACCCCTACATAATATGCAATAATTCAATAGAAAATCCCAAGGAAATGAAAATCGATATGAGACTCTGCTTTACTAATGGAAAAATCAATATGTCTTCCAGCCTTTCATAGTTCAGAAAGAAAGGGTTATTTGTCTTGTATATCTTTCTGATAAATTTTCTAGTAGATGGAAAAGGTTTTCAAGAAAAAACTTTCCATTTAGTTTTACTCACCCACAACAATCTTAATCCATATTTGGTCAGAAATGCAACCAAGTCCATCTTTTCTGCCATCCCCATGATACCACTTTGGGCAAGAACAAGTGAAGTTCCCAATCGTGTTGTGACAGATATTTGTGCACGGATTGAGTCCAGGAGCCGAGCACTCATCAATATCTGCATACAATTAATTTTAACAAGAACAAGGCTTACTCGAGCTGACAAAATATACCAACTAAACAATGCCAATGAAAAGTGACCAATAGACATATTCATCTGAGTTTCGCATCGTGTCTTCTCATCATTACATATTAGCCATTTCACTATTTATATGAAAGTATTATACGATATGTACCTTGGCAACCATCTGGAAGATATCCCCTGATAACCTTGAGAACAATTGCAGCGATACCCTGGAGCATTATCAGAGTCATAGCATGTAGTATTGTTCCCACAAGAGTAGCTGCTCATATTCTTTCTGGCTTCTTCACATGTCTTACTGTCCACGGCCCAATCAAGCACAACAGGCAACATCTTGTAGGTGCTTAAATTGTAGAGATCAACTGAGGCGAATGTATAAATTCCATCCTCAACAATAAAAGCATAGCTGCAAGGATTGAAGTTCCAAACCCCTGAATGATTGTAATAGCTTTTCACAGTCAAATTAAAGTCTATTACTCCTCTTGGAATTGACGTTTGGCAACAACCTATGCCGGAGCAGGTACCATTCACCACATCAGTAATGCTGTCACAGAGACATGCAGCCGGTTGCATATTTGCGTCCCAGGGAACCTACTACATATGCGTAAGTGTCGCAACCTACGGCTGTAAACTTGTTTCTGGTGTATGAGATAGGAAATTTGGGAACTCTAAACCAGTGATCGTAGTGGCTGTCAAGTCCACCCGATTCTGTGTAACAATCAAATGCTATCCAGGTCGAGACTATCAACTCACCATCCAGTGATATGTTAAGGACATCTATGTTGCCGTTTCCTAACTGTGCTTTGGACTCATTACATGTTATGAGGAAAGTCTCATCTAGGTAACAGCTTTCACTTGTGCCGAATGGGTATGGAATGGTCAGGTTGCCACAGGTTTCTGGGCAGCCGGGCTTCGCTTGAGATTCTGCTGGTGTTGCTGCAATTAGTGCTACAATCACCACCACAAGCAACTGTTGTATCAGCCTTTTGTGAAAGCTCATTGCTTCTCTCTTCAGATGAAGCTATTCTTTGGAGAACATTTCATCTAGCATAATGTTAAACCTTAACTAGAGTTTAACATGTCATTGCTATGCAATTTCTTGGTGCCGGCATTATTCGCATTATTGACATAAAGGACAACAAAAACAAGCAGAATGGTAATAAACTAATAAATTAAACTAATAAAAATGACCATTGTTTATAGATGTACTTTGGATGCATCGAGTGACAACTAAGATGATTAAGGAACCAATAAACAATACATATATATAGGCTATATATATATATATCTATATCTATATCTATATCTATATCTATACTATTATTAAATGTGCAAAGTGTTTCAGTATTTCAGTATTTCAGTAATTATTTATTAATATAAAAAAATCTTTTTTAATTGATATAAAACTCTAAAAATTACTTAATAAAATTTCAATTACTTAATAAAATTCAAATTACAAATTACCTAATAAATCTATACTATTATTAAAAGAGTTTTTATAAAATAAAATAAAATCTAATTAGACAAGAATAAGTCTATCACAAATTACTTATTTTATTTTCAATAAAACTCTATCACATTAGACAAAGATACACTTAAAGAGTTTCTATAAAACTCTAACACAAATTACCTATTTATCTATTTATTATGAGTTTTTAATAAAAGGAAATCTAATTATACGAGTATTATTAATATAAAAAATTATTTATATTATTTATTAATTGATATAATAAAAGAAAAGCTAATTAGAGAAGGATATATTTGAAGAAAATAAAATAATTTAAATAAAACTTTACCACAAATTATCTATTTTATTTTCAATAAAACTCTATCACATTAGACAAAGATATATTTAAAGAAATAAAGATATAAAACTCTAAAAATTACTTAATAAAATTCCAATTACCTAATAAAATTCAAATTACAAATTACCTAATAAATCTATACTATTATTAAAAGAGTTTTTATAAAATAAAATAAAATCTAATTAGACAAGAATAAGTCTACCACAAATTACTTATTTTATTTTCAAAAAAACTCTATCACATTAGACAAATATATACTTAAAGAGTTTCTATAAAACTCTAACACAAATTACATATTTATCTATTTATTATGAGTTTTTAATAAATGAAAATCCAATTATACGAGTATTATTAATATAAAAAATTATTTATTTTATTTATTAATTGATATAATAAAAGAAAATCTAATTAGAGAAGGATATATGTGAAGAAAATAAAATAATTTATATAAAACTCTATCACAAATTATCTATTTTATTTTCAATAAAACTCAGCACATTAGATAAAGATATATTTAAAGAGTTTCTATAAAACTTTACACAAATTACCAATTTATCTATTTATTGTGAGTTTCTTTTAATAAAAGAAAATCTAATTATACGAGTATTATTAATATATATTTAGACAAAGATATACTTAAAGAGTTTCTATAAAATTCTAACACAAATTACTGAGCACATGTCATCAATCTTATAAATAAAGGCATGGAGGAAGGAGGAAAGGACACATAAATTAAGAATTCTAGAACTAGAATATCAAATCATCTGTGATGCGGAAGAACTCTATGTTATTCTTAATACAATTGAGTTGTGTATGGTTGTGATTTGTATTATTGGATTTTGATATGTGTTGTTTCATCAGGCAAGTTTGAGTTTTGTATGGTTGTGATTTGTATTATTGGATTTTGATATGGATTGTTGACAATCCAAAATATGGATTGCCATTCTTCCAAACTTTTGAGATCGGAACTGTGAACGAGTGATGAGGCTGGAGTAAGATAATTGTCTTTCTGTACGAAGCCTCCTATTGATTGATCATAGACCTTTGATTATCAAAGGGAAGGGGGCTGGTTAGAGGCACAGTCTATTTCAATAAAGCCACAGTTAAGGCTGTATAAGAGCCTTTCCATCCAAGTGTTTGGTAAACTTTACTCTTCCTATTTGGTATCACGAAGTGTTTGGCCGGCCAACCCTTTCTACGCGCCCACCTCAATACAAGCTGCCGCCACTCCGTGGTGTTGTATTGCCTATGAATTTTGCAAATTTTGCACATGCTATTACCATTTACTACTTTGTTGTAGATATGCTGTATATGTAGATTTTAGTGTATTTGCAATTTTTCCAATTAAATTGAACTTTGCTTATAGAAAATTTACATCATTCACATACTCACACTATTCCTTTTTCTTAAACAAAGAAAAAATATTTCTATCAAGCAATACTGTTGAATACTTTGGTGTAGTTACAATGCACTTACAACATCCACCCCATTCATTTACAGGTGTCTTTTCACTTTCAAATTACCTAATAAAATTTAAATTACTATAAAACTATAAAATATTTATTAATTAGTATAAAAAATCTATATTATTATTAAAAGAGTTTCATAGTATTATTAAATGTGCAAAGAGTTTTTCACTATTTTAAAATTTTTTTTATTAATTGATATAAAACTCTAAAAATTACCTAATAAAATTCCAATTACCTATTTATCTATTTCTTTCTAAAAAAAATTACCTAATAAAAAAATCACCAATTTCAAATTACCTAATAAAATTCAAATTACAAATTACCTAATAAATCTATACTACTGTTAAAAGAGTTACCTATTTATCTATTGGTTTCTAAAAAAATTACCTAATTAAATATATCACCACTTTCAAATTACCTAATAAATCTATACTATTTTTAAAAAAATTTATATAAAAATGTAACAACAAAATATAAAAAAATATTTATTAATTAAAATAAAAATATTTTTATAATATTTATTAATTAATATAAAAATAGTTTTTATAAAAAGAGTTATTTCTGAATTAATATAAAAATAGTTTTTATAAAACTCTAAAAATTACCTAAAAATATAAATAACCATTTTCAAATTACCTAATATACAAATTACCTAATAAATCTATACTATTATTAAAAGAGTTTCTATGTAACACAAAATATTAAAAATATTTATTAATTAATATAAAAATAGTTTTTAAGAGTTTTATAATATTTATTAATTAATATAAAAATAGTTTATATAAAAAGAGTTATTTATTAATTAATATAAAAATAATTTTTATAAAAATCTAAAAATTACCAAATAAAATAAATCACCACTTTCAAATTACTGAACAAAATTCAAATTACAAATTATAAAACTGTAACACAAAATATAAAAAAAATATTTATTAATTAATATAAAAATAGTTTTATAAAAAGAAATTCTATAAAATTCTAAAATTTACTTATTGAAATCAATAACCACTTTCAAATTACCTAATAAAATTCAAATTACAAATTGCCTAATAAAATTCAAATTATAAAAATAGTTTTAATAAGAAGAGTTTCTATAAAACTATAAAATATTTATTAATTAATATAAAAATAGTTTTTAGAAAAATAGTTTCTATAAAACTCTAAAAATTATATATAAAAAAAATATTTATTAATTAATAGAAAAAGAGTTTTTATAAAAAGAGTTTCTAGAAAACTCTAAAAATTACCTAATAAAATCAGTCGCAACTTTCAAATTAGCTAATAAAATTCAAATTACAAATTAAAAATTACCTAATAAATCTATACTATTATTAAAAGAGTTTCTATAAAACTCTAACACAAAATATAAAAAAATATCACCACTTTCAAATTACCTAATAAAATTTAAATTAAAAATTACCTAATAAAATTCAAATTACAAAAAGAGTTTTTATAAAAAGAGTTTCTATAAAACTATAAAATATTTATTAATTAGTATAAAAAAATCTATACTATTATTAAAAGAGTTTCTATAAAACTCTAACACAAATTACAAAAAAAAATATTTATTAATTAATATAAAAATATTTTTATAAAAATAGTTTCTATGAAATATTTATAAATTATTTTTTAATATCACTATAACAGAGTTTTTATAAAAATAGTTTCTATAAAACTCTAAAAATTACCAAATAAAATCAATCACCATTTTCAAATTACCTAATAAAATTCAAATTACAAATTATCTAATAAATCTAATTCCTATAAAACTCTAATAAAATTTAAATTACAAAGATAGTTTTTATAAATTTGTTTCTATAAAACTATAAAATAATTATTAATTAATATAAAATATCTATTAATTAATATAAAAAGAGTTTCTATAAAACTTTAAATACTAGCTAATAAAATCAATCACCACTTTTAAATTACCTAATAAAATTCAATTAAAAATTACCTAATAAATCTATACTATTATTAAAAGTTCTATAAAATTCTAACCCAAAATATATAAAAAAAATATCACCATTTTAAATTACCTAATAAAATTCAAACTACAAAAATAGTTTTTATAAAAAGAGTTTCTATAAAACTATAAAATATTTATTAATTAGTATAAAAAAATCTATACTATTATTAAAAGAGTTTCTATAAAACTCTAACACACACACATATATATATATATATATATATATATATATAAAGAGTTTCTATAAAACTATAAAATATTTATTATTTAATATAAAATATTTATTAATTGCCATAAAAAGAGTTTTTATATATAGGGTTTATGAAAATAGTTTTTATAAAATTCTAAAAATTACGTAATAAAGTTAATCACCATTTTCAAATTATCTAATAAAATTCAAATTACAAGTTACCTAATAAATCTATTTTTTTATAAAATTCTAATACATCAGATTTTCTAATATATCATACTTAGATGATCCATCCTCCAATGGAAAAATTTATTTTGTTTCTTTTGAGGTGACTATTATTACTCTTTAAACATTGTCGATATGAATTTATTTAATATATGACAATATCATATAATGAAAACTATAAATAATTAAAAATATATATGAACCGAAAAATTTCATAAGTTACAAAATATTCACCACGTGCAATGCACGTGCCTTTTTCTAGTATATATATATATATATATATATAAAGAAAAAGAAGAAAGAAAGCAGGGAAATGAAACATGTGAGTTGTAACCAAGTTGT